GGCAGTCAGGGGAATGCAGGATCCGGCCTACTCTGCTCCTCCAGATGTGGCTGAGGGGGATTGCTGGGACTTGTAGTTCACCTGATGCTACAGATCATTAGGGGGATAGAGAGTGTAGAATATACAGTGAGCGCTCCGTGTCTGTAAGATCATACATGTCATGTCACACACAGACACCGCACATTACATGTCACATCCATCGCTGTACATGACACGCTCTGCTCCCGTGTAACATGTTCCTGTCCTGTCTGCAGGGATCCATATTCTCCAGGTGATGTACGGCTGTGAGCTGAGAGATGACGGCACCACTGACGGGTATTTCCAGCACGGATATGACGGGAGAGAGTTCTTGTATCTGGACACAAAGAATGGGATCTACATCCCGACCATGACCGAGGCTCAGATCACCACACAGAGATGGAACAGTCCGGAGGAGAGAGTGGGGGAGAGAGACAAGAATTATCTGGAGAATATCTGTATTCCTGCACTGAGGAGATACATGGAGTACGGGAGAGAAGATCTGGAGAAGAGAGGTGACTGATCTACATACATCATATATGTTCTATCTACACACTGCATACATCATATATGTTCTATCTACACACTACATACATCATATATGTTCTGTCTACACACTACATACAACATATATGTTCTATCTACACACTGCATACATCATATATGTTCTATCTACACACTACATACAACATATATGTTCCATCTACACACTGCATACATCATATATGTTCTATCTGCACACTGCATGCATCATGTATGTTCTATCTACACACTGCATACATCATATATGTTCTATCTACACACTACATACAACATATATGTTCCATCTACACACTGCATACATCATATATGTTCCATCTACACACTGCATACATCATATATGTTCCATCTACACACTGCATACATCATATATGTTCTATCTGCACACTGCATGCATCATGTATGTTCTATCTACACACTGCATACATCTATCTGCACACTGTATACATCATATATGTTATATCTACGCACTGCATACATCATATATGTTCTATCTACATACTACATACATCATATATGTTCTATCTACACACTGCATACATCATATATCTTCTATCTACACACTGCATACATCATATATGTTATATCTACACACTGTATACATCATATATGTTCAAACTACACACATCATATATGTTCTATCTGCACACTGCATACATCATATATGTTCTATCTGCACACTGCATACATCATATATGTTAGATCTACACACATCATATATGTTCTATCTGCACACTACATACATCATATATGTTCTATCTACACACTACATACATCATATGTTCTATCTACACACTACATACATCAGTGTCAGTGTGTACATGTCAGTGTCAGTCCAGCCACATGGGTGACTATGGGGAGCTGTAAGGAGTGATATCCCCCCTGCAATGATACAATGTCTCTACATGTGGCCATTTATAGACGTCTTCCTGTCCCTGGAACAGACGATTCGGAATTCTGATGTTCTATTACTTTGGACGGTGATACAAATTTGGATTTGATTTCCAAGTTCTCCGGCCGGGTTCCCACCTGAACCACACGTGGAAACGCGCTGAAAAACGCCCTGCGCCCAAACAAGTACAGGAGCTTCTTTGGGGCGTTTTTCCGTGCGTATCCATCGCTATTCCTGAGTGTGGCTAACAAAGCGCTACCCCCGAGCCACACCCGGGAATACAGCGCAGGACTTACCTTGTCCGCGATCCCCGCTGTGTCCTCCGGCCGCTGCCGACTTCCGGGTTCCGTCCCTTGCAAGCGGCCGCGTCGCAGGGGGGGG